GGGAACGTTGGAGTCCTCCGTCACTGAAGCAAGCAAGCCTCATGTTCGCTTCAAGCTTCCTGGCTGCCGGCTGCCATCTTGGCTGGCAGTTAATTTGCATATCGCCCTGATTAGCCAATGGGAAGGGTAGCGGAGGTATGGCTAATTACCATGTTTCTCTTTTATTAGATAGGATGACACTAATGGTAAATTTTATTTGTATTTTACCATAATAATGGTGAAATAAAAACCCAGAAAGTACAAAAAAGCAAACCGGCTTCAACAATAAAAATGGATTTTAAAATTTGGGTAATGGGCCCAGCTGGTGTGGCTCAGTGGTTGAGCATCAACCCATGAACCAGGAGATCAAGGTCCGATTCCTCATTCAGGGCACATGCCTGGGTTGTGAGCTCAATTCCCAGTAGGGAGTGTGCAGGAGGCAGCCGATCAATGATTCTCTCTTTGTTTGTTTGTTTTTTTTTAAATTGGTACCACTTTTTTTTTTTACATTTTTTATTGATTTCAGAGATAATGGGGGAGGGAAAAAGAGATAGAAACATCAATGATGAGGGAGAATCATTGATTGGCTGCCTTCTGCATGAACCACACTTGGGATCGATGCTCTATCTACTGAACAAAACTGGCTAGGGCAATGATTCTCTCTCATCATTGATGTTTCCATCTCCTCTCCCTTCCTCTCTCTGAAATCAATAAAAAAAATATTTTTTAAAAATTGGGCTAATGGGGCCACATATATGGTTACAGAAGATGATTCGACTTTGAGTGGTTGGCACACAATGCAATATACAGATCATGTATCATAGAAATGTACACTTGAAACCTATATGATTTTAATAACCAATGTCACCCCAATAAATTTAATTTAAAAAAAACGGAAAAAATTGATTTTTAAAAAATTTCTTAAAGCAAGTTAGAGCCTTTTACTTCATATGGTATGCCAGCTGCCAAAATATACAGTTCAGAGTTACTCTGGTAGGTTGTGGGGAGTCATGACGATTTATTGAGCAGTGCAGTGACACGATAAGAGTTCTGCTTTAGCAAATCCATCTGGCATCACAAGTTTAATTGGAGGGAGATGAACTAGAGGCCAAGATCATTTATAAGAGTCTAAGCCCCTTAAGCCCCTAAATTGGGTATGGTAGGAATGGCAAGAAATACATGAAAAACTTTATTTGCCCTTTTGTCATCTTTTATTTATTTACTTACTAGTGGCCCAGTGCACAAAATCCATGCACATTAAAAGGGAATTAATTAGAGGAAATATTTTTTTAAGTTTATAGTTTATTAATCCTCTCACGAAAAATCTGCACAACCATCACAGATAAAGTCACCGAAGAATCTTTACTCCTTCTGTAGTTCAATCTCCAGCTTACTTTTTGCCAGCACCGACGGTGGCCTTTGCAGTCCCCCTGACTTTCTTCATTCTGTTCTTACATTCCTTTCTCTGTTTTCTTGAGGTCTTCTTCTCATATAGGCCATGTCTTGCAAGTCTATGTGTGTGTTCATTTTTCTTTGCATAATCCAAGGAATCATAAATCATGCCAAAGCCAGTGGTCTTGCCACCACCAAAGTGGGTTCTGAATCCAAACACAAAATCTGAGTCAAATCCCCGCCCACCTGCGTGCGCTTCGAAATTGCAGGAGACCCAGACCCAGCAGGCCCCATTTTCCCAGATTTCTGTCTTGGGTACTGTTACCTTCTCAGGGTGAAGGACATCAATGACCATTTGTTTCCACTGAAGTAGTCTGTTGGTCATGAACTTCCTGGTCCGGATGGTTACTGTGTCATTCATGATGAAGGTTGGTCTTTGGAAATATTTTAATATTACTATTTGCCCTTTCTCTATAATAGAAGTGTCAGAGATGAAAGAAAATTAGTAAAATGTGTATGAAAATCTCCCTCCTGTCAGAATCTGAGTCAAATCCCCGCCCACCTGCGTGCGCTTCGAAATTGCAGGAGACCCAGACCCAGCAGGCCCCACCCCCATTGGGTGAGACCCAGACTCCAGCAGCCCCATCCCCGTCAAGCCCCACTGGGCAGGGGTCACAGCCTCAGGTCCCCCCCATCAAGCCCTGCGGAGGGGGGGGGCGGGGAGGGCACAGCCTCAGGTCCCCCCAGCCTAGCGCTGGGCAGGGGGCGTGGCCTGAGGTCCCCCACCATGGCCAGGCCAGGCATCATGCATCCTCAGGTCCCTACTGATCGGTTGTTACACATCAGGGAGTGATGACCATTTGCACATTAACCTTTTATTATGATGATTTATTTAAATATATTTTTATTGATTTCAGAGAGGAAGGGAGAGGGAGAGAGATAGAAATATCAATGATGAGAGAGAATCATTGAGGGATCAAGCCTGCAACCTGGACATGTGCCCTTGGTGGGAATCAAACACAGGACCCTTCAGCCCTCAGGCCAACGCTCCATCCTTTGAGCCAAACCAGCTAGGGCTTGTCCTCTTTTATATGCACTGTGCCTACAGTCAGTATTCTGTTACAGCAGAAGTTACCAGACTAGAAGACAAATAGCAGTATCCTTCTAGATACAGGCCTATCTAGAGCTTCCCCGGGGAAAACATCAGACCAGGAAATATTGGGCAGCATAAAACGCTTTTTGCTAAGCAAGGAGTTGATAATATTTGTTTTCTTAGTCTATCTCCAACTGGCCTAAAATAAGTAGCAGGTGTCATTTATTGATCATTTGCTAAGTGAATTCTACATATTTTTTTTTATTAGCTACTTCTTTTTTACAAACCTGTGAAGTGAGTACTACTTACGTGCATCTGTGGATTGGTAAACCGGGGTTCAGGGAGAACAAGAAGCTTGCCTTTTAAGGTGAGGGGAGTTGGACTTCTCATCTGACTCCTCAGCCTGTGCTCTTAAGGAAAAAAAAAGTTAAAACTGAGAAGCATGGTGTCTTTGCTGCTCTGATCATGTCTCTATTCCATTCGAGCTTATCACAGTTTGCTTTCAGAAGGGCCAGCATCAATTTACTGCTTTCTGGAAGTTTGAACATTTTATTTTAATCAGTTCTTTGGGGACTCACAAAAAGACTTCCTTATGTACATCTCTTCTAAGAATGATGAACTGTTACATCATGGTCTGAGAAGGTTGAAGCCACAGAGCAAGGTGACACTCCGGAGGTAGCGAGTGAGGGCCTCCACCGAAGAGTTGGACTGTTCCTGTGCTAAGGATCAAAGAAGAGGTGGGAATTGAAACAAGAAACCGGAATCTTAGAGGGCCGAGAGGGGGGAACTGGAGGTATTTGACGGGGAGTCACTCTTGTTTACTTGAGAAGTCATTTTAAGGCCCTCCTGGAAGAAAAAGAAAAGTTGATCTCTGCAGAACGCCTCGGCACCAAAGCTTTTGTTATCTTAACAAAAGATTATCTAGGTTCATGTTACTCTTTTTGTTCATTTCCCTCTTGTTATCCCTAGGCCTTTGGTAAAATCTTATTCAAATGTTTCAGCCTGATTTAACTAGGCTACAGGGAGTTTAACAAAGAGAGAGAGAGCTCTGTCCAACTTAGACCACAGGCTAAACGTTGGAAGTAGGTCCTGTTGAGGCCAGCCTGGAGGTGGCAGCACTGATTGTGAGCTTCCAGAAAGGAAGGTAAAACTCGGGACATCAAAGTTGGGGTTAAGCAGCCCAGCCACTTCTCACCATTGTCCCTGTTGAGGTATCCTTTCTTCCACTGCCTGTTCAGGAGGAACAGAGAGGTGATTTATATTGGGGGGTGAGGGGGTGGGGGTGGAGGGTGCCGAAGGAAGAACTCCAATATCTGTCTAGAGCCGGCGATCCCGATGAACTGTGGAGACCACTGGGTCCACCTGAGGCATGGCCCTTTGTGAGGAGGAGCAGGTGGAGCGCTTTGGGGGTGGAGGGTGGGCAGGGCTTCCCTATCCATTTACCTCAGAACAATGTTTTTCAATCTGTAGGTCATTAGTAGGTCATGAAATCATTTTAGTGGGTGTCAATCAGCACTTGTTTTTAAGTGAAATGAAATAGAAAGTTCATGGTTTTATGAGCATTTGTTTCAATTTTTAAGAACTGTGTGTGTGTGTGTGTGTGTGTGTTGGGTCACCATGTGAAACGTATTTTGTACTGTGGGTTATGATCAGAATAAGTTTGTAAACCATTGTTACTGGTATATATCTAATGAAATCAGACTTATCCAGGTGGGGAAATCCTTACATTTCCTTGTGTGTGTGTGTTTTTTTCCACTTTATAATTTGTGAATTAATTGATCTCTGAGACATTTTTCATCACTTTATCAATTTAGTTTACTAGCCAGGTACTCAGATATATCCATTTATTACAAAAGGACAGTACCGCCTCAGTTATGGCTTCATTGCTTTAGGGCAAGGGGTGGGGAAGTTCTTTACCAAAATGGATGAGCAAAAAGATTAACTGATATCAATCAATGATTATCACTTATAACAATTTATGGGCACTTTAAGGGAAAACTAAGGAAATCCCAACAAAAGCAAAGTTGTATTGAGTATAAATAATTAACTGACATTTAATGCATCCCTGATGGCTGGTCTAAAGCAATCATGATTATTCTATTATCCTTGCCAGTAATTAGTTCCAAATTAGTCGTATAATCAATTGTGCTAGAGTTCTTAAAAAATACTTCTTCACACCCAGCCAATGTGGCTAAGTGGTTGAGCATCAACCTATGAACCAGGAGATCACGGTTCGATTCCCAGTCAGGGCACATGCCCAGGTTGCAGGCTGGATCCCCAGTGGGGGCATGCAGGAGGCAGCCGATTGCTGATTCTCATCATTGGTATTTCTATCTCTCTCTCCATCTCGCTTCCTCTCTGAAATCATTAAAAAAATATTTTAAAAAAATACTTTCTCACTCCTAAAAGTGGTCTTCTTTCTCTGGGTGTTGACATGCCTGAGCTATGAGGCCAAGACTTTCTGCTGTCATCTTTCTATTGCCTGAGGATGAACTTGTTACCAGAAGGATGAAGGATGACAGAGCAAAGGGATGGTAGAACCCTCGATGCTTCATGACATCATTATGCACCTGCCTCTATCAACACTGCCCTACCCCTGAACTTCCTTGTTTTACGACAAATCAATTTCTTTTTGTTTGAGTATTATTGGTTTTATTAATTATTTACAGCCAAAGCCTTCTAACTGATCTACTGAATGTTAGTGCCACGTGGTAACACTGATTTCCCCCAGGGGCTACTAAACTGCTTCCTATGACTCCTGTATTTTCAGTGTCATTAGAGAGCCCTCTGGAGACTATACATGGCTTCAAAATTTTAGAAACTCTCCCAGGTACCCAGCCCTTAATATATTGTCAGGGTTAGTTTATGTCAAAAGCTGCTGTTCTCTTTCTTGTAGCCACTGACCTCCATTGCAGATTCAGGCCAGGTTTGAGAATTTCTTTTCTTAGCAGAAAGCATTAAAAATTCGCAGGTATTAAGATCCAGCTTATCTGTCACTTAAACTCTGCTTGAGGGCGGCCCTCTTTTCACTGATAGAATATGCTTCTGACTCCATGTTGCCCATCTTGTTGCCTGTGTTCCTGGCAAAGTGAAGGGACTACTTACAATCTTACCTTCAAGAGCTCCCCCTCACCTGCCTACCTGAATTCTTGAACCATTCCTTTTCCGTGCCTTCGTGTTTATTTACAGCATGATAAAAAGTATTTACAAGAAGGAAATGAGTAGCCTAAAGTGCACGGGAGAAGTATTTTAACAGGAGTGACCACAACAGTGTTTCATATTTCCCATGCCTGTTTTCTTTCCTGAGGTAAGGAGAATTTATAAGCTGTTAACTTTGTATGCGCTGCATGAACTGTTGTAAAAGTTTCAGATGCATATTGAATTTAGTTTTTTTGTTTAACTACCAAAGATTCCAAAGAGAGGGGATAAATTAACCAGAAATATTTATTTCAAGAGCAACTTTTATTTAATTAAAATATCATTAGCAATAGTTCAGTATATAAAGGTAATAACTTATTTAATATAGCCATTTGTCATTTATAGACACCCCCCCCATTAACCTGAGTAATCAACTCTGTTTCCCTTCAGTTTCATTTAGTCAGGTTTAGGGGTAACCACATATTTTCCTATGGCTTGTGTTCGTAAAATCGTTTCTTGCAATCTGCTTTATGTGCATTTACACATATGAAAAAAGTCAAAATATATTAGAGAGCCTTTATTCTTATATATTAACTATATGAAATTTAATTTCCTACCCATCAAAATATTTTTTCTTTTAATTATCAATTAGTTTCTCTTGTTCTCCTTGTAATATACTCCTGAATTACTTTCCTATCTGCTCTAAGGTTCTATGAAACTATTCATTATGTGTTACAAAACATTCTTAACCTAGATCTGCAATGGCTTGTTTAAAAAGCAATTTTTCATCAAAATTTTAAAACTTTTCTGCTTCAAAGTACACTACTAAGAAAGTTAAAAGACAACCCAAAGAATGGGAGAAAATAGGTGTTAATCATATATCTGATGGATTTGTGTCCAGAATGTATGTATGTTTGTTTGTTTGTTTATTTATTTATTTATTTATTTATATTAATTGATTTTTTTTTGAGAGAGAGGGAGGAAGAGGGAGACAGAGAAAAAGAAACATCCATGTGAGAGCAAAACATCAATCGGCTGCCTCATGCACACTGGCATGTGCCCTGACTGGTGCATGGGACCACACCCAGCCACCTGAGCCGCACTGGCCAAGGTGCCAGAATGTATAAAGAGCTCTTACATTCAGCAATAAAAAGACAAATCACTTTGCCCTGGCTGATGTTGCTCACTGATTAGAGCAGCAGTCT